CGGGGCGGCCGCAGCCTGCGCCCTCTCGTGCGCGCGGGGCCAGCTCCGCTCGGCTGCCCAGGCGCCCATCCTCCTCGTCTCCTCCGCCGCCGCCGCCGACGCCGCCTTCCTCCCGGTCGGGGACCACACGACTTCGCCAAAGTCGCCGCACCAGCCCCGAGCGTTTGGACCTGAACATACGATATCTTTTGGCGCCAGGGGGTGGGGGGCGGCGGTCTCCAGTTACCGGGGGTCCGTTCCCTCAGCGAGGCGCCGGCTGCGCGGGCCGCAGCCCCGCATGAAGCTCCGCCGCGGGGCGCCGTGCAGAGCGCGCGCAGCCCGTCGTTGAAGTGGCGCCGCGGGGCCGCAACATGAGGGAGCTCCCCGGGGCGGGACGGCCGGGACCCCGCGAGCGCCGAGCCGCAGCCCGCGCGGGGCCGGCGGCTGCACGCACCGGTGCGGCCGCGCTGCTCAGCTCCGGCCCCCGAGCGTCGGGGGCGCTGCAGGCGGCGCGCGGCTGGAGAGACCCCGCATGGGCCGAGGAGCCTCCAGAAGTTGCGCGCTGGTCGGTGAGCACAAAGCGCTCGCGCCGAAGCTCCCGAAAGACTGCCTTTAAAACCCAAGCGCTTCAATGCATGGGCTCTTCCTGCAGGCTCGGAAAGGCAGGCTTGTGGATACCCTTAACTCCCTGCAAAAAGAAAGGGGAGGGGGGGAAAGGAGGGGGAAAGGAAAAGAAATCCCAAACAAAACCCCAATCCCAAGGTTTGCATGCACGGAAGGCCAACTCCGTCTCAGGTCCCAGGCGCTAGATGCACTTGGAGCGAGTTACTCCGGAACGCGGTGTCAACACAGGACCGGGAGCTGTAAAAACCCCAGAGCTGCTGGGAATCCTTAATTAAAAATGCAGTCCGGCGAGGCAGAGGTCGCAGCCCGCCCCACGCTGCGCTCGGACGCTTCGGGCGCCGCGGCTGCCGAGGTCGCCCCCCCGTCCCCCCGCCACCAAAGTGCCTCCCGGCGGCCCCGCGGTCCCGGCGAGGCTCGGCGAGGCAGCGGCCAGCGGCTCTTTCTCTCGGCTCGGCTCTCTCTCTCTTTTTTGTTCTCCTCAAACGCACAGTGAGGGCCCCCGGAGGAGCGCCGTGGAGTCATTGGCTGCCTCCCATCATATGCCAGTCTAGACACTTTGGCGGCTCCGCGGCGCTGATTGTTGCGCAAACAAGGTTTCAAGTTTCTTAACTCTTAAAGGAGAACACGTCCCATTGCAGGACCCAAGGCTCCGAGGGGCCGGTTCCCGGGGCGGGCCGAGCCAGGGCCTCCGCCCCACGCCCGCCCCGGCACCCCCGCCCGTGGCCTGACAGCGCCCGCGGCTCGCTCTCGGGCCACCCCCGGGCACGGATGCGCGCGAGCACCGGGACACGCGCGCGCACACGCTCCCTGGGCTGCGTGCGCGCCGGGGCTCCGCGCACCCACCGAGCCGCGGACGCGAACGGGACGCCCGGCCTCTCCCTGCCTGGTGCCCGAACTTACAAACACGCGTTGCACTTCAGAGTCGTGCAAACCCCCGCCCAGCGCGGGCCAATAAAAATGGGTGTGCGTGTGCTTTCCTGCCCCGCTTCTCGGGGGAGCAGGGAGGACGGATTGGTTGAGGGAGCGGGGACCCTCTGTGGCGGCGCCAGGGCTGCGAACCCCTGCGCAGAGTCGTGGGGTGCGGGGCGCTGCGCGCAGGGGGGCTCCAGGTTCGTCCGAAGTGGGAGAGGGTGGGGAGTGTGTTCTCGATGGCTGTACTCCGCATCCCGATCCCCCGGCTCTGTCTCTTTAGGGAGTCGCTTTCCCCAGCAAGGGACATCAGGGAGATGGGGGTGAGCCGGGGACGGGGCTGGGACACTCGGCGCGGGAAGGGTTAAGCCCGCTCGGGCCCTGGAGCCGGCGCGGCGGGGTACCTCCTCGGGCGCGCTCGCTCGTCCGAGGGTGGCAAAAGTTCAAGCTTGTAAAGTCGGGATTGGTCCCGCGCGGAGGGGGAAAAAAGGCCTGGTCCCCCCTCCCCCTCCCGGGCGTGGCGCCGATTGGCCGGGCGGC